ATTAAAAATAACACATGGATACATTTAAAGATAATCCATTTTATTCAGAAATTTCAGCTGCAATTTTTATATTAGCAGATTTAATCACTACAGCCAACTTTTAACTCATCAATCGGGCTCCAAAAAGGCCATGATTTTGGAGCTGCTTTCTCCACATTATAATAGCATAAGCTACTTGTTATAAATAAAATATTAAGCATTCAAACATAGGGATAGCTCTTATCTAACCAATTGTATGATATTATGTTAACAGGGACCATATTACTGTGGAATTGGAGCTGACAAAGCTTTTGGGCGTGACATTGTTGACGCACACTACAAAGCATGCCTTTATGCTGGGATCAACATCAGCGGTATTAATGGAGAAGTGATGCCTGGACAGGTCAAATTGTTATTTTATGTTGCAGTGTACTTGATTTTTGGTTTTTTTACATATGTAGTATATGTAGTATTGTAGTCTCAACTGAAAATTGAAGTGTATGTTGGAATTCATTTTTACTTTCTCCTGATGTTTGGTTTTTATCACAGGAGGGCAAAATGAAATATGTTTATTTGATCTTTGATTTTTTTAACATTTTTAGATTCTTAGTCTAGACAGCCTAAAATAAGTTTATTGGAATGGTATATCATATAATGTATACATCAAAAGTTAAAAAAACAAATCAACTAAAAGATCGCATGACTTCCTCCTTTACAGCCTTTAGCTTTTCATCAGACAATTTACTTTAATTCTTTACCGAACTTTTGATTTTCCTTTTCTTCTTTATTGATTCTTTTGGTTGGCCTTGTAGACTTTGTGGACATTTGAGAATAATATTTGACATTTCTTTGTAATATGATGATGTGCAGTGGGAATTCCAAGTTGGTCCATCGGTTGGAATTTCAGCTGGTGATGAGGTGTGGGTGGCTAGGTATATTCTCGAGGTAAGTACTTCTTCTTACCGTATCTCCTGTGTTAAATAGATAAAACCGCATCGTCCAATTCTTGTGGTTTTACAGAGGATTGCAGAGATTTCTGGAGTGGTCGTCTCATTTGACCCGAAACCAATTCCTGTAAGTTGTTTTGCCGGATGATTACTTTCTTCCAACTCTTTCACTGCCCGCATTGTGATTAGCGTATGCATTGTGATTTGGAAAATCCGTTCCAAGCACCTTATATATTGTGATCATTGTTTTCTTTTGGATGGATGAGCAGGGTGATTGGAATGGTGCCGGGGCTCACACAAACTACAGGTAACGTTTAGAATAAAAGAATGGTTAGCCCAATGAACCTTGCCTTGCCTTGCCTTAACAAAATAGACTTTACTGTTTTCTTTCTTGTTTTGCAGCACCAAGTCAATGAGGAATGATGGTGGATTTGATGTGATTAAGAAGGCTATTGAAAAGCTTAAGCTGAGGCACAAGGAACACATTGCTGCATACGGGGAGGGCAATGAGCGCCGTCTGACCGGAAGGCATGAGACTGCTGACATTAACACCTTCTCATGGGGAGTTGCGAACCGCGGTGCATCTGTTCGTGTGGGACGTGATACAGAGAAAGATGGCAAAGGCTACTTTGAGGACCGGAGGCCAGCTTCCAACATGGATCCCTACACCGTTACCTCCATGATTGCCGAGACCACTATACTTTTGAAAGATTAAGCAAATGCGTAATTGCTTTGGAAGTCTTTGTTTATTGTGTGGGTTTTTTGTTTGAAACAGAAACCAACCATTGTTGTATTTTCATCGGTTAGCTCTCGTAATTGAATAATAATGCTTTATGCTGTCTTTTTTCTTGTTAGCAGTATATTGTTGAACTCAAGTGGCATTTTTTTTGTCACGCTTTAAGAATAATATATATATATTTCCAAAAAGGGTCCGGGGGGATTCAGTGATTTGCGGTGTCATACTCCATTACTTACGTTCTTGGCGCTTTTAAAAAAGTCAAACGAAAAGATTGTACCCCACAAATAAAATAGATACAAATATGGAAACAATTACTATAAATATATTGACGATAAATCATAAATATATGAGAAAATTGTTGAAGCGGGACTAAAACATACTAATCTTCTAAAAATATAGTTACATGTTTTGTTTTCCTTAAATACGACTAAACACAAATATGACTAAACACTGCATTTATATTCTTAATAATATAATTAATTAATACTGCGTATAATTTTGTGGCCCCTCAATCCTCTTGCATAATATGGCCGGTTCGTTCGTAAATCGTAATAGTGCTTAAATTCTACAAAGGTATTTTCGTCCAATCACAAATATGTTGTATTTATAGAACTTTAAAAATTATGTCAGTATTGAGAAAATGACATTGGGTTGGTCCCTTATTTGGAATTTGGATAAACCCCCCTCATATTTATTATCCCCCCTCAATTTATTTTAATCTGACATTACTTTTTACAGTCAATGTTCCGATTATTGCTGCGTCACCCAGTTAGATGTGAGTTGTGCATATGATGTAAGAGGCTCCTTTATACGAAAGAATTACTTCCATCAAAGAAGATTCCATAACCCGGATACAAATAGGCAAGATATGTTTGAAAACATTCAAACATGGAGGATCATGACAATTATAGTTGCACTTTTGTTTATTCTATCTACGAGTACAATCACAATGATAGTTTCATCTTCGACTTCGATGGCCGGCGGCGGATCTCTAAAACTTCACTTATCCCAATAATAAAATAAGCTCACTTGAATGATCCTATGGATCACATAGACCCATGAACTCGATAAGTTGTTCAATTCACGCTTGAATAGTTAAAGTGTCAAAGTTGAAAAAAATAATAAAAAGAAAGTATAAAAGAAATTACAAGTCAAAATATAAAATAGAGATATTTAACAAATAATATAAATAGAAGTATTTACATTTTGGGTTAAATTCAAAATACAAACATGAAATATAAACTAAAGTAATTTTCATTTTCATTTACCCCAGTGCCACAAAGGCTCCCACCTATGGTGGAGTAAGGGGGTCGGATGTACGCACTCTTACCCTTGTACTAAAGCACATAGAGATTGTTTCCGGATGACCCATAGTGAAAATCCCGTCCAAAATTGCATGGACTGACTGCTACTTCATAACAAAGAAGCGTAAACAGTTTAGTGAGTCATTTTGCTTTCTTCCATCATAATCTCAAGCCAAAAAATAATGAATTTTTGACTCCATTGCAAATGATGGAAATAAATATAAACTAAAGTAAATTATTTAAATTTATTTCCACATTTTATATTTTACACACACATAAAGGGTGGATCACGTACAAACAACATTTTGTTGTAAATATTTTGTAAGATGAACTTTTACGTTATTTGTATTGCATATTAACGTTCAAATTGGTGCATTTTATTTTGCAATGAATTAAACAGTGACATATTAATGTTCAAAGTGCTGCATACGAAGAATGTTTGGTTTTATTACTAAAATGCTATTGTGAGTGTAGCCTTAAAACCAATTCATCGAGTAATCAAGATGAGTTTGTAATTGGTAAATTAGGTGGTATTTGTATTTGATTTTTTTTATATGCACACATACACAAATATTCCTAGCCGTGTCACGTATTGTCTGAAGGGGGCATCATCTGACCACCTCAATTGAGGTGATTTCGTGTGGAATTTTTTGACGAAATTTTATGAGAATGTTTTTCATTAAGTATATAAATTATGTTCAAAAATTAAATGGGAAGTCACCTAAATAAAATATTGAAAAAACTGTGTTTTAATATATATTTTGCCGCAACTTTTTTCAATATTTTATTTATTTGACTTTCAGATTGAATTTTATTATGAAATCTTATGAACATAATCTATGCTTCATGAAAATCACGCCAACAAAAATTCATCAAAAACTCCCTCCCTCTCTCTCCCCCTCCCTCCCTCCCTCTCTCTCTCTCTCTCTCTCTCTCTCTCTCTCTCTCTCTCTATATATATATATATATATATATATATATATATATATATATATGTGTGTGTGTGTGTGTGTGTGTGTGTGTGTGTGTGTGTGTGTGTGTATTGTTTTTTTGCACTATTTACACACCTTACTTTGACCATGATTTTCTACTAATATATATAATCAAATTATTATGTATAAAATGTTATTCAGTCTCTATGAATGTGAATTTTCAAAATATTAACTTTTTATAATATTTACTAATACGTAACTAAATGTAAGTATAGTCAAAGTAGGGTTGGACTCGGGCCGGGTCGGGCCCGGTCGGGCCGGCGGTTCTATATAGCTGGACCCGGGACCGGCCCGGGTAGCCACCGGGTCCGGTCCGGGTCCGGGTCCGGGTCGGGCCGGGCCTCGGGTTTGGTTAATTTTTTTTTTTTTGCTTAGCTACCCATCCCTGACCCCCCCCCCCCCTCACCCCCACCCCCCAAACCCCTCCTAAACATCAAGCCCAACCCGGTGGAGCCCAAACAAATGAAAAAAACCAAAAAAAAAAATAAATTTGGCCCGAACCGGGCCCGGCCGGGCCGGGCCTTGTTATGGGTGACCCGAGCCCGGACCGGAAACCCACCGGTTCGGGCCTACCCGGACCGGTCACTGACCGGGCCACCGGTTCGGGCCGGGCCGGAACAGTACCGGTCCCGGGCCGGTTCCGGGTCGGGCCACCCGGCCCGAGTCCAACCCTAAGTCAAAGTTGTGCACTAGCAAACGTGAATGTCAAACTATTGCAATTATTAAAGAATGGAGGATAATAAGTATGTATAGGAGGTGGATTGAGTACAAAGAATTCTTATTGTGTAAATATGTGTACGATACTTCTTTCCGCTATTCGTATTGCATATTAGTGTTCAAAAGTTGCATATTATTTTGCAACGAAATAAGCGATTTCATATTAACGTTCAAAGTGTTGCACCCGAAAAAAGTTTATATTATCAAAATGTTACCGTGCATCTGTAGCCTTTAGATCAACTCATCGAATGACAAAAATGAGTTTGTAACTTGTAAATTAGGAGTTGTTTTCAAATTTCAAAAAACATCTATAAGATTTTATGAAACATTCATTAGAGAATAGAAATGGTGGCATAAAAACTGAAACCCATTATATACGTACTATGTTATGGACAGGTGCTTAGGGTTTATGACTTTATGCCTAGGTTCAAATAGGGTTTTGGCAGCGGCAAAGTTTTTTTCGGTGGCTCTGCTTAGTTGTCGAGCATGTTTGGGTAGCGACTGTATTCCGCTTGGTTTGGACGAAGACGTTTGATGAGGACGGTCATGGTAAGAACTCAAATTTATTCAGATGATAATGGTGTGGATGCAGTTTGCTTTTGGACGGTACGAGTTTATGCACTATTTTGGCCAAGAGATGGAGGCCAATCACGGGCAAAACGAGGTGGAGATGTTGGCAAAGAACGGGAATAGAATGTACGCAATCTTACCCCTGTATCAAAGCACAAAGAGAAAATACATGGACGGACTGTTAGTTCACAATAACGAAGTGCATACAGTTTGGTGAGTCATATTGCTTTATTCCATCATATTCTCAAGCCAAAAAATAGTGAATCTTTGGCTCCATTGCAAATGATGGAAAATAATAAAATTGAAAACTAGGAATGGTAAGAATGATGATGGTGGTGGTGATAGCTTAAACCACAACAATAATAGCAATTTAAATAATAATAACACTAATGCTAACAATTACACAGATAACAACAATGGTGGTGGTGGTGCGCAATGGAAAACTTCGACCTAGACGGTCCAAGCCCCCCTCCCAATATAGGATAATAGGCATGATTTGCATCTATCGATATATATATATATATATATCTATAGCAAAACTGTTGACATATAAATCCAAAACGCCGGGGACAGCGGGTTTATTTGGGTTCAGTTGTTGCTCCGAATGTGAGACTTCCCATGCCACTATAATCAAAGGCATTAATCTTTGTCCAGGTGTGAAAGGGGGATATCGGTTCTTGTTGATGATCCGAAGTGTGTGGCGGAGGAGGAAGCTGACGTGGAGGATGCTGTGTTCAGCCCATCAGCATCATTATCATCATCATGGTTCTGATCTAGGAGGAGGATGGTTTCGAGTTCCTTCACTACTTCACTCATTGTTGGCCGCTCAACAGTTGATTCTTCCACGCACTGCATTGCCAACTCTATAAACTTAACCAATCCAGATATAGAGCTTGTCGCAGTGGGGTTTCTTATACCAGGATCCATCATCTCCCTTAGCCCAACATGTTCCTCCCCATCCTTGATGTTCACCTTAACCTCTTGCACAATGTACTTTCCCTTTTCAATTGGCTGTTTGGCTGTGATCAACTCAAGCATTACAACACCAAAGCTGTATACATCACTTCTCTCCGTTAGCTGTTCGCTCATATAGTATTCCGGATCCAAATAACCCTGCAGAGGTCAAATCAAATATGTGAAGATTCAGAAATTTCAAATCAACTCGCACAAACTTTTGGGAACATGTTTTTTAATAGGCCCAAAATTTTGAGAGGCCCATATTTCTTTGTAGTGTACACGTCCCATATGGGGCCTAATTTGTAAGGCTTATCAACATCAAATATGAAATTGAATACTTTAATTACTAACAAAGCATGATAAATCCGATTATTAGATATTTTTGTTTTGTTTAAAGTATTTATTTCCTGAATGTATTACTCCGTATTATTTAATAACTAGTTCGTAAGTGATCTTTGACCTTATTAGGAGTACTGTTTAGAATTTTGGGTACTATAAGAGGCCATTCTCACATAAAGCTGATCTTTTTGTACAGCTCACCAATGTGCCTTTGACTTGAGTGGATACATGTCCTTTTGTGGCATCACTTACAAGCTTGGACATGCCAAAATCAGCAACCTTAGCGGTTAAGTTTTCATCCAGTAGAATATTTGAGGATTTCACATCTCCATGAATAATGGGAGGATTAGCTAGGTCGTGTAGATAAGCTAATCCTCTGGCTGAACCAAGAGCTATGCTAAGTCTCCTCTTCCAATCAATATTAATGCCTCTCATCCCTGCCATACACGACAATAAATTTCTTTAGTGTTTCTATTAACCATTGAGGAAATAATAAAAAGTCAAAAAGTCCCATTGTTCCAAAAAATATAAGGAATTGAGGAAATAATAAGAAGTCAAAAAATAAAACAATAACAGGAAGAAAAATATATACATGTATATATATACTACGTATTAATTTATTTTAGTTTTTTCATTTTTTGGCTCTTTGTGTTTTCCTTGCTAGTGTTTTAGGCAGTTTCAATTCCTTCCCTCATTCGTGTTTATATCTTTCCTTTTCATTAGTTCAAAGTTCAAACACTATTGATGAAGAGGAAAGATACAAATGCTAATGAGGGAATGAAACTAGGCTTAAATGCTAGCAAGGGAAAAGATTGAAGAGCAAAAAATAAATAGAACGAACTATAAAACATACTCCCTCCGGTCCTAAATAAACTTCATAGTTTGACTTTACGGTTTTTAAGAAAGTGGAACTTTTCCTTTTGACTTTCCCATCACGCCCCTACAAAAAGGTGATAAAGTGTAGTGGGAGAGAGAAAGTGGGTATAAAGTAGGTAATAAAGTAAGGGTATAGGAGTAACTTTATGTTAAAAACTTGCCAAAAATAGAAGTGTGAAGTTTATTTTGGACCTACCCAAAAAGGAAAGTGTGAAGTTTATTTAGGACCGAGGGAGTATATTTCTTCCTATTATTGTTTTTACTATTTGTTATTTCCTTTTTAACTTTTTACTATTAATCAAAAGAATTCCCAAGAAAAGCAAAACTGGAAGTTTTGGAACACTGGAACTATTATTGAATGAGGGATTAGCTAATAGCTAGTTCAAAAGCTAAACACACACATATATAGGATTGCTCAATGCTCACCTCTGAACTACTGGACTAACTTTGTGTCCGAATTTCAATAGAAAACAAGAATTGACCATGCAAAGAGGACTTCAATTTAAAATGAGGGGCCAAGTTGATAGAGAACTTAACTATGCAGTAGAAAATTAGTATGTTACTGATGAAGATTTCAGAATCGAACTTGATTACAATGGCGTAGACAGAAAGAAAGGAGAAAGGGATGCCAATTTCTGTCTCCCTTCCTCCCCCTCCCATTCTTAAACTAAATCAAAAGAGTTGGCCCAACTCACGACTTACCTGGCCCAGAACCCTTATTTTTATACTATCACGATTATATAATATAATTCTATTCTTTTTATTATTATTATTATTATTATTATTATACTAATAGGAAAAATTGACAAGAATAATCCCACTTTTCACTGGTCTCTCAATTCTCATAATAATCCAACCTTTACGTAATCCCAAAATAATTCCACCTTTGCACCCCATCTTCTTTTGTCCACCCTAACCTGTTGATGACTTACTATACCAGGTTTTTACCCTTTCGTAGAAAACATTATATAAAAGATCCCACATTTTACAAATCCGCTCAAAACGGTCCCGTGTTTCATTTTTTTCTCCGTAAAACTTTTCTTTCTTTATTTTCATTCTTGGACACTTTTTATTCCTTTTTCTATCCTTTTGTTCTTATTTATTTCCCATTTTTATTATTCTATTTCTTACTCTAATAGGAGATTTTTTTTGTAAAATTTCTCATCAAAATAGCTCTTTTTTGTCGTTTTCTTTTTCTTTTCGTATTTTATTTCATTTCCCTTTTTATGTTTTTCTTGTTAATCATTCTCTTTTTCTCACTTTACTTTTTGTTATGTTTTCTTTTTATTTTCACTTTTCCACTTTTATATTTTCACTTTTAAAATGAGATCTTTAATAAAAAGAGAATGAATAAGAAGAAAAAAATAAAAAAGGGAAATGAAATAAAAATACGCAAAGAAAAAGAAAACGACAAAAAGAGCTATTTTAAAGAGAAATTTTACAAAAAAAAATCTCTCCCAATAGAGTGAGAAATAGAATAATAAAAATGGAAAAGAAATAAGAACAAAATGATAGAAATAATAATAATAAAATGTCTACGAATGAAAATAAATAAAGATTTTTTTAGGAAGAATAAAGAAAAAATGGAATTATATATAAGCATTATTTGTATCCTTTTTATTTTATCATTTTTATGTATATTCATCTCTTTTTATATTATCTTTTTATAATAGCTTATCTTTTTTATCTTTATTTTCTTTCTTTTCCTTTTGGTGGTGATATCATGTATCGATTCATGTTAGCCGACCCCAATATCTTTTGGGACTAAGGCTTGGATGTCGTTGTTGTAAAGAAAAAATGGAACATGGGACCGTTTTGAGCAGATTTGTGAAAGGGTGAGATTATTTATATAAGGTTTTCAAAGAAAGGGTAAAAACCTGGTATAGTAGGTCATCAACAGGTCAGAGTCCAACGAAAGAAGGGGTGCAAAGGTGGGATTATTCTGAGATTACGTAAAGGTGAGATTATTATGAGAAGACCAGTGAGAGGTGGGATAATTCTTGTCAATTTTTCCATACTAATATGCCCGGTTCCTATTATACTACTGCTGCGTTGAAGCTAAAAAAAGGTGATTGTATGTTTTATTATTTGACTTGGTCCCTCATTTTAATTGAAGTCCTCCTTCTGTTAGGCCCAACATTTGATTTTTTTAAGTTAGGACATAAATTTGGTCAGGTAGTTAGGAGGTGAGCAATCCTCTACACACACACATATATGCATGTATATATGAATGTAATTTCTTTGTTTTTGTTTTGTTTTAATACAGGAGTAAGACTGCGTACATCCGACCCCCCTTACCCTACCATAGGTGGGAGCATTTACAGCACTGGGGTAATGATGATGAATGGATGGATACATATATGTAAATATGCATGTATGTATGATGTATGTGTATGCATGTGTATATATATGTGTGCATGCATATAAGTATTTGTTTTTTTACATACACATGTAAATATGAATGTATGTATGTATATATGAGTGTGTATATATATGTATATGTGTTTGTATATATGTATATATGTGTGTGTATAAATACATATATGTGTGTGTGTGTATTTATATATAGAGTATGGAAGACCCCCTGCTCGTATTATATATTCTAGAGAATTTGAGTCTTTGGTTTTCTATATTCCAAATTATGATTCATTATTTCTATATCATTGGCTTTTGTTCTTTACGTAGTGACCTAAAGCCATTTTAGCGTACCTGACAAACATGCCCTTAAGCTTCCATTTGACATAAATTCGTACACCAACATTTGTTCTCCTTGTTCAAAACAAAATCCCACAAGACCAACAAGGTTCTTGTGATGGACCCGAGAAAGTAATTCGATTTCAGTTTTGAATTCTAGTCCCGCCTGCATTGATCCATGTTGAGCTCTTTTAATGGCCACCACTTGCCCACATGAGAGTATTCCTCTATACACCTATGCCATTAGAGGAATATATAGATTTAACGTAGTAGAATTGGTCGCTTGTTGGAGGGTGGGTATATTACAGTTCCATCATTATTTGTAATATCATCATACCTTGCCATATCCCCCGGAACCAACCTCATTGCTCTTAGCAAAGTTGTTCGTGCATTTCTTAACTTCATCATAAGAGAACCATCTCGCCCCTTTAAGATGGGGTATGCCGCAGCTCTCTTTGTTGCTTGGAGCCCAAGATGCTGGACAATATCAAGGAGCAAAGTATCATACCAAGACTAAGATGCTATTATGTTCATCTTATGATTTAATTCTTTTAGCTTTATACAACATTACAACCACAAATATCCAGACCAAATCTTATAGAAAATCAGATCACATTTTTTCAAGTGAAGAGAACATGTCCTAAAGCACAATGTCCAATACAATATTTATAAACAAATCCATAATTTTTACCAAAAGGTCTTATCAGCTCAATTGGTCTTTCAACACGTTTCTTTTGCTGAACTGCATAAACTCCCAAACCAGTGAGCAACAGAACCAAAACCACACAACCAACAGTTACTCCGAGAATCACCAGCCTTGAGCTTATTATGGATGTTCCACCATGCTCAGCTGAAAAAGGCAAGTTTTCTATAGTTGGATTTTCTTTCATGAGAATTTTGGATTCAAATAAACTTTTGACTCGGTGCTTTTCCACTACCTGGAAAAGTGTAAGGAGATGCTATGAAATAGTAAGGCCCGAATTTCGGAGGTGGCTTAAATGTCTGATTACTTAAGAAAAATCCAATTCTCTGAACTTCTGACCTGTTGAAATACATTCCTGCAGATGGAAAGAGTTCCACATGCACCAGAAGATAGTCATCCATGTTGAAAAAGGGGTTCATCAGAGAGACAGAGCCAGGGTTGAGTCCTAATTTTACCCAAAGACTCATTTCAAGAGACTGGAACAATTCAACATTGGACAACTCCCTGAAGGAGGGTGCCCTGAAGTATAATGTTCCTTCATATGGGTACGCACAGTCACAACTTTGCGGGCTAAGTTTTTTATCAGATGAACAAATTGATTTACTTCCACAGTTGGCTAGACTGGTAGAGTACGGGTTTGCAGCTTGTTGCTGAAGCTGACAATAGTCAGTTTTAGCAAGTGGGGAGGTGCAAACTGGGTTCCCTATTAATCTGAAGAATGAAACAGAGAATGCTCATTAATCTGAGAACAGATAAATTTTGTAATAAAATAATTTTGATTTAAAACTTGAATTTGCTACCGCTCACATCAGTGTCTTTCTGTACCCTGAGCCAAGGGTTACCGATGATATCTCATTGTTTTGGAAATCCACGAGTTGCAATCGGTGACTTATGCTACTACCCATATTCAAAGTATCATTAAAGGCATTGTTCCGAAGCTTCCTGTTGATGTTTTTGAGGTACTTGAGTAATTCTCTTATGGAGAAGTTCCTTTTGAGTAAGAAAAACAAAAGAACAACAAAGTTTACTCTTATACGTGTGCCTTAAGTGGGTCTTACAGTTGTTGAATCTGGGGGAAACTGAAAAGTTCCTGAGGTACTGGTCCCTGAAGTGAGCCATATTCGATCACCCTGAGAAACATACCATATGCTAAATAAATATTTATAAAACAAAAGAAGGAAAAAACAATGCAAGAAGAACACAGTCTAAACTTATGATATTGCAATTACTAACAGAGTTGTAAGTGATCGTAGGGTTGAAAACCAGCCGGGAGCTTCCGACTGCTGAAAGGAATTGTTACTCAAATCCCTAAGAAGAGAAACAAGATTTCCGACTCCAATAAAATTAATACTTCTTTTCATGTTATATTGGAATGTATATTAGACTTTGGAAAAATGAGCATAAAATAAAGCGTGAAATTTCAAAATGCACCTACAAGTAATTAAGGGAGTTCATTCCATTCAGGTCAGGTAGCGAGCCAGACAGCTTGTTATGTGCCATGTTTCTGCAGCCAAGAACTTGCATCATTTTCATTTCATTTTCATTTACCCCAGTGCCGCAAAGGCTCCCACCTACGGTGGGGTAAGGGGGGTCGGATGTACGCAGTCTTACCCCTGTACAAGCACAGAGAGACTGTTTCGGGATGACCCATAGTGAAAATCGCGTCCAAAATTGCATGGACCGACTACTGCTCCATAACAAAGAAGCGCAGACAGTTTAGTGAGCCATTTTGCTTTATTCCATCATAATCTCACGCCAAGAACTTGCATATTCATTCGAATTCAAATGGAACAATGTGTTTTTTTTTTTAAATGGACAACTATAGACACTCACAATTCTATCATGCTTGTCAGATTGTTGAGATTCAAGGGGATACTACCATTAAGGAAATTTCTATCAAGCCGGCTGCACGAATGAACATTAATAAATATACCATCCCGGTCAGATAAGAACTCAGTGGCAGATGCATATACTATGACAATGCAGATGAAATTGTGAGAAGGTTGAATGTACTCACAGAACCTCAATTGTCTGGACAAGTCCTATTGTGGATGGTATACTCCCACTAAATTGATTCCCATCAAATAATCTGCCATTACAGAACCTTTGATGATAAGAGATACAGAGGAATCAAGGGGTTAGTTCCATGATGGGTCTGGTATCTTGACTTACATATGTATGAGCACCATGTTGGTGCTAAACAATTCAGAAGGAATTGTGCCCGAAAGCTGGTTTTTGTTGAAATGGCTGTGAAAGCTTCAGATATTAGGCTCTATCCATGGGGAAAAAACTACTTCAGATAAATGACAAAAAGGTTTGAAATGTTACTAGATCACTCACAAGTGTTTTGCCTTTCTAAGAAGATCCAGTCCCGGATCTTTGACTGTTGAAACAGGGAGAGATCCAGTCAACTGATTATCAGCCAGGTCAAGCCAGTAGAGTTTGGATAGATTACCCAAAGATGCTGGAATTTCACCAGTGAAGTTATTTGAGTTGAGTGCTCTATCAAGTAGCAATCATTGGACAAGTTAGTGATGGTTTACAAAATTAAAACAGATATGTACAGGTTTCAATCAAGAAGCTCATAAAGTTTTCCAAACTTATTAGATACTCCGTAGTATATATTTACAAGAAGGACAAATCTGAAAGTTTTCCAAGTTCAGCAGGTATACTGCCACTAAAGCTACACCCAGCAAGAATCCTGAAATCCAAACAAACGAAATTACTGCGGGTTGGTTGGCCGGAAGCCGGATGTGAAATACTATAGGTAATCATAGTTGTCATGGCGCGTGGCGCAATTATGGCGTCATCACATGACAAAAGAAACTAAAAATATGAATTATAGACACTATAATTCTATCACCCAACCACCAAAACAAGATAAAAAAACTTGAATACCAACATTCTAACCAAAACATGTGAAGTTAAAATAGTTTATAGTAGTTCCAAAAAACATAATATTCAAAAAAAGTTTCATGTCTTTCAAAATATGTTACCTTGTTTTTGTCAGTTTTCAGAAAAGCATATATGCAATTGGGAGATTTTCATATATTTCTGGGAGAAAGGCAGAAAATGTTAAAGATATAACAAGTTATCCTACAAATTATCATTAGCGAAAAAAATCTCCCTTTGTCAGTTCTACAAATTTTCCTCTTCCTAGAGAAAAGCATAAATTTCTGGTTCGCCCCTTCCTATATTTCTGATTTTCTACAAATTTTTATGGTTTCTTGGAGTCCCCTTAGTCATTCCTTGTTGCGCAGCTCAGACTCTAGCTTTTACGTTTACTTCATCAGTTTTGTCTGACTTTACGTGTTACTTGTATCTTTATTTACTTTTGATTAGGATTTTTGTTAATGTAATGGGCTACATATTAATTTGTTATTAGGCTTTTATTAATATTATGGCCTAGCAGATTATTTCAGTATTTATCAGGGCCAAAAGCTCCAAAATTACAAAGTAAACTGGTTCAGATTTATAAAATATGATGGCGCAATTGTCATGGCAACAGCAATGGCGCAAATATGGCACCACCATGAGTATGGTCGTCACCATGAGGACTTCCCACGGTGCAGGACGAGTTTCTTGCCATATGGCGCATGGCGCACGCTCTATTCCTCACCATCGACAACTATGCAGGTAATATGTATTAGATTAGAAATTTCATACGGAGTATGTTATATTCAAATTATCTTAGAATTTTATACCACTTTATTGTAGGTTATTCTTAGCATTTTTAGCTTGATTTGGCCTCTTTGGTAAGAGTCAAATTAAATAAAAAGTATTATTAATTGATATTAACAAATACCAACAATAATTATATTAAACACATTCCAACAATCAAGCATTCCTAAATTATATCACATTCCATGTGTAGTCTAATATTTCGTGAACCAAATGGCCCCTTACAATATGCTTAGTTTGTGCAGATCTCCAATCCTTTCAGAGATAGAGCCTGTGAGGTCTCGGTTAAATGACAGGTCTCTGCAAAACATACAGTTTAATGGATGGTTTATGCCTTCAAAACAACTGGGTAAATTAGTGATAAGAGAAAATATGATATGATGTTTCCCAAAGAAAATGAAAAAAAACTCACAGGGATATTAGTTCAGTCAGCCCCCCGATATCACCATTTAGATTTCCTTTCAGTCCCATGGTTGACAATCCCCTGGATATTAATGTCACCAGGGAGTAGAAACAGCACAACGGACAAGTTATGATATAAAATATAATCTGCTAAACTTAGTCAAAAATATATACTGAGGAAAAGTCCCTCACAATGCAGTAACCCTAGAGTTTTTGCAGGTTACTCCTTCCCAGGATCCTCCACAAGGATCATCTGATTTCCCCCAACTTGGAGGCGTGTTTTTCCACTGGTCTTTGAGAGATGTGAGCACAGCTACTGCATGCGGACAAACAGTGCGTCTTATTACCTCTTTGTTACAACTTTATGCATACTACTAGTAGTAGTAGTAGTCAAGTTGAATTCATAATTATTTCATTCATTAAAGTGGGAAGTATAAATAAGTGACTGACGAGATATTACATCGTATTAGATAGAAACACATCCCCCAATTATTAATTTAGGCATCTACTACCAATGAAACTTTACAAATAAAGAAGGCTACTGCCCAGTAGCTCACGTAAGTGTATGATCCAATTAATAAAAATAAGTATCACCCTCCGAAAATTCCAAACCCAACAAGGGCTAAAGAGCAGGTTGATCAAGTAAAAGGTTACTATGGTAGACGATGTAACAGAAAAGTTTTTGCAGTCAAGAGCAAAATTACTGCCGTTCCTAAAATAGCTCTAGAATGACATTCAACAGATCCTTGAATTTTTCAGAGGTGTATTCGGGAATGAAATTATACATAAAAAAGATCAGTAAATTAAAAAAGAAACACTAGGTTGAAGATATGGTAGGCGCTGGCAGGAGAATACAATCACGAGAATCCGCCTCCTCGTAAGAGGATACGAGGTATTGAAGGAATGCGGAGATGATGAGATAGCAAAGCAGGAGCCAGAGGAGGGTCTCCATGGAGCGCGCACGGGCTGAGGAATTTTGGTGTTAGAATTCCGGTAGGGGGATGTAATATTGGGCTTCGGCTTCATTTGATTCACCAATTATATACAGTCGTAGCGTCTGTCCTGATGGGCAATGATGATGTCCAGGGAGCTTTGAGTTTGGAAAAAGAAAAAACTTCCTAACCAGTAATATAATCATGTATCTTGTCTTCAAAGCAAATTCAATACACCCACCTGTATGGAATTTGGATCCCCCACTACGCCCTTGATATCATTCTTCATTCTTTAATCTACCCATTTGATACGATCCGAAACAGACTCATCAGCTTAACCGCGCACCACCGGAAACCCTTCATGTCAATCGTCCCCTTCTGCATCTTCCTATTGATGGATATCGCCCACGGGAGCATCAATCGGTAAGTGTTCCGTTCTGCCAACCTTCACCCCCAATATGAAAGCAATTTCATGGGTTCTTTACTTTCTACTTAACGGTCGGTATGAATGGAAAGAAAGACATATTCGGAGTCATATACTCTTGTTTAATGGATGGTTTAATTAACTTAATAGTTCAGTCCAAAATCAACACTCCTTATCCTTCAGACATCCATTATGTATCGGCTCTCCTTTTTAACCTGGTTCCCTTCATCCCATTCTTCTCCGCTAACCTCTCTTACGGCTGAAGTATATGTTGCAATGATGGCTCCGCCATCTCTAATCGCTGCTCTGACAACTGCATTTGGGAGGTCTGTCCTCTTCGATCTGATGCTCCCCTGTCGTGGAAGAGAATACATAGTTGATCGATGGTCTGCATAGCAATTCTGGAATTCCGGCATTGACAAACTGGATTACAGCGGTAATAAGGTCATTTCATGGCTTTAGGACGCTTCACTAGATTTTTTATTTTTGTAAGGGATGTTAGAATTAATGTGATCTGAGGAGATAACATCGAACAATTGTTTGATTCCCCGAGGGAATTTCACTTTGTGGTTGGCATAGGCATTCTCATTCTCCATGTAAGTAATGTTTAATTGGTCCCAATCTCTGATAGAAATTCTGGAAATTTCGTTGTCTTCCTCATTTGTTTGTTATATAGGAGTTCTTGTTCAAACACACAAGAGTCATTCTCATTTTTCCTCAAATATAGATCTATATTTGAAAAAACTTTAAAAGGTGAATAAACTTGAAATTACTTTGAGTTTTAGCCCATTTGTGAAAATTTCCCTTTAATAATTCATAGCATTATTATTCTCCGGCATCTGAAATTATGTTTCAGAACAGAGAATGTAAACAGACAATATACATTCAGCACTTGTTCCAGACAGAAGGATTATTTGGTCATTTAACATGATTCAGACTTTTCATTCAGCACACTTAGTAAACAGTTTGTTATCCCTTGGTCACTTAATCCAGACAGACAGCTTAATACAGATAGACACATTAATCCATTCAGGACTTAATGAAAAAAAAAGTAAACAGCTCTTATGTTACTCGTAATAAGTACTCCCCCTATTACATTCTAAAAATTAAAAAATGAGCATCAATCAATATTAAATCATTGTATTAGTAACACAATTGAGGGTTCGGGTTTGTTTGGACGTGGGGAAACCCCTAAAGTTGGTACTACTATCAAGAAGAGCAAAGGGGAGGATATTGAGCTGATTTTAAATATGAAAAACTTCCAAACTTTTGTTTTATTTGTGGGGTCACAGGGCATGCAGAGAAATTTTGTCCATTAATGTACGAAAAAGGAGGTCAGGATTGGCCAAACCGTTTGGCCCGTGACTGCGAGCGGGAGGAAGGAAGACTCGCTCTTCTTCGAGAAGTAAGTGGTTGGTTATAGAAGGAAGCTCTGCAATAGGTGTATGCAACAACACAATTATCTATAAGACAGGACAAGATCTGGGCCCAAAAAACAAGGTGGATGATTGTCATGGATGATGGTGGCTACTACTGGAACGGGAGCGACTCAGCTGGGTGGACGTCCAGGAGATCAGAAGAGGAGACGCACATGGGAAGAGTAGGAGCAGTGCGACTATGTGGCGGAGGAAATGGCCCTAGACGGGCCAAAAAACGGGTCCCAAGCCCGCCAAAGCTTCTGAGGATTCAGATCTTTTTTATGCTGGGAAGACACTTTTATTTAGTTTATTTAGTTTATGTCTTATTTCGTTTTTATTTGGATCTTTATGTTGTTTTGGTTGTGTTGTGTTTTTTCACAAAAAAGTTCTATAACTTAGGACATGTGATAAAGAGTCTGGTTTGCCTGTCATTGACTCAGTTAAGCTCATGTTGGATCAGCGAATCGCATTGCTTCTACACGGGTGATTGATTCTAAGTCTAGTTCTAGGGCGGACGGCAGACAGAAGACATGTTATCATTTTGTAACCTGCTTACATCTTGTTATCATAATTATATTTAAGCCAATTTCGTTCAAAAAAAAGTATCTGACCTACACATTATATATGTTACAAATTAATTCATTCATTTAATTATAGGAAAAAGGGGCAAATAAGCACACGTACTAACAAAAAAGGTCAAATAAACCCTTATATAGGAGGCTCTATCCGGCCGTCATCATTTGGGGCAATTCCCGGTGGAATTTTTTGATGAATTTTTTGGAGAATCGTATTCATTAAGTCTAATTTACTCATAGCAAATTTTAGTTAACAATTCATTATAACTATGTATTAAAATTCTCATTATATCTTAACTATATAAGTTAAAATACTTTGTTGTACGGTGTGCATGGTACAATCGCTTGTACCATATAATTTACAGATGTTCACCCCCGTTGGTTTTTGTAAGAGCTTTGATACTCAAATTGATCGATTCTATTCAAATTTATAAAATTCTAATTGAAGTGATTGGATTCGCTAATTATGCTTATTTATAAAAAAAATACATTTAAAATATATTTTATTAATAAAATAAAGAAAAAATTATATATAAAAACAACTAAAATGATCTTCTTCAGTAATTTCAATCAATCCAGTCAGAAAAATAACTTCAACCTTACTTATTTTTATCACACAATTTAGCACGTGAAATCTATAGTTACGTGTTTGGTTAAAAATGTTGATTGATAAACCTGATAAAACGATCTTCTACCGTAATTTCAAACAATCCAGTCAGAAAAAGTAACCTCAACCTTACTTACTTTTTTATTACACAATTCAGCGTGCGAAATATATAGTTACGTGTTTGGTTAAAAAAGTTGATTGATAAATCTGATAAACCAAAAAACATGATCATCCAATTGACTATTTCTTATACACATTTGGCGCACATTATATATAGTTTACATTTTTAGAGCCGTTTAGTAACACTAAAATTGACTGAATTGGCTGATTCTGCTGAAATTTATGAAGTTCTGGCTAAATTGGCTGTATTGGCTAATTCAGCTGCTTAATGAAAAAATTATATTTAAAATATTTGTTATTAATAAATTAAATAAAAAATTATATGAAAAAATAGTTAAAATGATCCTCTATAATAACTTCGGTTAAAACAGCCAGAAAAGTAACTCCAACCTTACTTTTTCTGCTTATTAGAAACTTCAGCGCGTGAAATCAAAAATTACGTGTTTGGTGAAAAAATTGATTTATAAGCCGAGAAAGGGAGTCACCAAACGGGCTCTTAGCATTTTAGTTTTAGATTCTACCTCACTCCCTGTCAACTCATTCCTTCTCTTCTCCCTCTTTCCACCCATATGAGTCTTTTCTCTCCTTACTCTCTCTTATTCTTTCTTCTTTCTTTTTATTAAACATTCACTTTCCTCACTTTATCTCCATCTTCACTATCTTCATCATCTTTCACTTTCATCTGTCGCACCATATTCATCACCTCCAATCTTCACGATCTTCCATATATATCACCTCATCATCTTTATCATTATCAACTTCTATGAATGGAAAAAGAGTTTCAGTCACCGGAAAATTAGAGATGAACACTCGTCGGATTTATTTTGTGTAAACAGAAACTATTTTTTTCAACGTCTGTGTGCTTAGACAATTGTTAAGCACGGATAAAAATCGTACAAATTGTCTGTGTACAGACAACTAAATGTCTATGCACAAACTTTGGTTTACGTGCAACCAAACTCTGCTTTTCTACAACACATCACAAAACTCAATGTTCGCATACATGCATTTGGTTGTCTCTACATAAGTAATTTGTACATTTTCTGTCTCTACTCAAAATTTTTGTTTGTGTGCCAAGAAAAATTTGTTAAACACGAAAAAAATGTAGAAGCTATCTGTACAGACAACTAAATGTCTGTGTACGGACATTGGGTTCCATGCAACCAGAGACTGGCATTTTTCTCTTAATGATAGTGCTAAGAAAGCTGAAATGAATGAAACTGCCTGCTCTACTGTTTATCTTAACCTATCTGACTCTGTGCTTAGAAAAGTGGTATCTTACACTCTACTAAAAAGTTGTGGGATAAGTTAGATGATCTTTATACTAACACCTCTTTGCGTGGTAAACTGTTTTTGCTTGAAATGTTCTTTTGGTTTAGGCTAGACCTAACCAAAGACATTGATGAAAACCTGACATACTACATGTACATATTATAGAAAGGAATAATATAACGATTAAAAGAAATGAGCATACACAAATGAATATTTGAATACATTAGAGAATTCAAATGGGCTATTGAATTTTTCGATGCTCATTCTGTAAGTTATGTATGCTCATTTGGTATTAGTATGAGCATCATACTTATTATGTTGAGTATTATGAGGCTAATATTAAACATCATGATCTCTTCTTTGTATTTTCTAATTCACATTGTTTTTCTTATTTTGTTTATTATAAAAAATCTAAATTATATCTATAATCAACTCTTAAGATTTTAATCTAATGTAATATAATACTTTTGAAATAAGCACTGATATGACATTTTAAAATGAGCATAACATCAATTTCAAATTAACATACATAGCTTACAAAATGAGCATTAATATGAAAATAATAAGCCTTAATAGTTGAGCATCAAACCACCTCTATGAAGTATTAGAATCATTCAATTGGGTATGATCTTTACTCTCGTGTCTATAATTAACTCTCATGTGAATCAATGTAATATGATAGTTTTGAAATATGTATTGATATGACATTTTAAAATGAGCATAAAACCAATTCCATATGAGCATACGTAACTTACAAAATGAGTATAAAAAATCAAAGGCGCATTGAATTATCTAACGTGTTCAAATATTCATTCGTGTATGTTCATTTCTTTTAATCATTATGCTAATTCGAATATAACAGAGACTCTTTTTCTATAATATGTACATCTATTAGATTCTTTATTAACAATTTAATAAACTATCATGATATATAACAATGAAAAATATAAAATTTTATATTAAAAATAATTTATAGTCTTTTTTTCTTGAATTACAAATATAATCGTGTTGTTCTTATAATATTTACTCATGCACATTTATTTTATACTATACTCATTTTAGTATAACACAAAATTCATGTTAGCAATAACACACAATATTTAATAAACTAATAAATATTCATCTTAAAATTAAAAATAGAAAAAAAAAACATTAATACCTAAAATATTTTATTATACACAAGTTAAAAAAAAGTTAGAAGGGTGATTGGAAAAAGAATAAAAACAAATTCAAACATGAAATAATACGAGTATTTTATACAATACATTTTAATGATAATTGAATAAAAATAAAAGATTGTCACAGAAAAAACCCACACGTAAAGAAAATAAAAGGAAAAGGACAAAAGAAAAAAAGTGAAACAAACAAGCACGAAAAACAACGAAACAAAGAAAAGAAGAAAGATAGAAGAAAGAAGTAAAATCAACGAGCAGCTAAGCATGCCAGCGGGTAAAGAAAAACAACGAACAGCCCAGCAGGGAACCAACTTAACTATTGCCCTTTGAATCTTCTTATATAAAAAAGCAAGAGAAAAATAGCTCATTTTCCCGCCCAATGCACCGGGTCAAATTCGGGTCAGTAGCCAAAATATGGATCTTTGAAGTTGACTTAGCAAAAAAGTACAGGTCATTTATTGTTCAAGCGGCTGAGAGGACATTTGAT